GTTTTTATGTAATTGTATACAGTCCACTTCCTAAGTTTCAATAAATTAGAACAAAAAGAAAACGAAGCTTTACGTTGGTAATTTTATTAAACAAAAGAAGGATACCGAAGGTAAATCCGGTCTGTTGAGAAGGATTCCAGTTATTCCATTCCAATACGACGAAGTCAAGTAATACAAAATTACAATTGTTTCAAAAGATCATCGACACCGTGAATTCATTATCCAATAAAAGTTTTTGTCGGATATTAAACGGTATTGTGTAAGAGTTACGTAAACATAGAAATTATGTCATTCACATGTCCCCATTTGTTATGTACAGCTGATACGATACAGCAGTGTCAAGGCAAGCTATCAGAACAAAGACGATTTGTTTGATATCAAATATAACAAAGTAAAACGTGTTAACCTTCAAACAAAAGCTAGCCTCAATGCCCGATCAATATTGCAACTTTTTTATTAAAAAAACCGACCTCAAAAATTCGTGGATTTTTTTAATAATATCAAGTGATGGGACCATTGACTTACAAATAAATGGACGACGACGGGTCTAATACAAAAACCACGAAAAAAATGTCCCAAGTCAACCTATTTAAACATTTAAAGGAATATGAAAAATCTAAAACGTTGAATTTAAATTGTAATGTCATCGCAGTACCTACTGTCTAATTTTGCTTGCTTCGCTGTCAGTCGAACAAACGAAGACTAAAGCGTGAATGACGCTCTGTATACGATTTTAACGCCCTATACGTTCGGACACCTTTTAGCGCGGACCCGACGTCCATATGGTAAGCTACACCCTGTCTAAGGCAAGGTAAGGTAAGGTAAGCTACGCTTTAAGTCGCAAAGATCTGACGGGCAATGCCACTGCGCCCGTCACCCTGAGACAGAAGTTGACAGTCTCATGTGCCTGTAATTTCACCAGCACCCTTACCCTTCAAAACCGGAACACAGTAATGCTGACATTACTGCTTGGCGGCAGAAATAGGTAAGGTGGCGGTACTTCCCTGGACGAACTCTTTCACAAGGAGCTCTTCTACTGTTACTAAAATTACATTTATTGCCTCTATTACATCTATTTGGCAAGTTATATAGAAATCAGTTACCGGAACGTGCGCGAAACAAGATTCATCCTCTAGTTTGCCACAGAGGTGGAATATTTTCTTAAACTTTCACTTTCCAACAAAAATAATCATCAAAATCGGTTCACAAATAGAGTAATCACGTAACGTACATGAATTAAGAACCTCCTTTTTTGAATTCGGTTAAAAATATTTTGCAACTTACGAGGTTTAAAACGCCGGTTTAAAAAGTCGTCACCACTGGCTTTGTTCCCACTGGCGACAAATGGGGAAAAAAATCCTATATGTTTGTTACCAGGTGGCGACAAACGAGATAAAAAAAATTCTCAGCTGTTGCCAGTGGTGATTTCCACTGGCGACAAATGGGATAAAAATTCCATATTGTCGCCTTAAAGCACAAAGTTACTGGTATGCAAAAAATGGATTGTGTATACATATTTTGCGGAATAATTTCATATCACATTTCCTTCATATTCACATACTGGCTTTTACCTATTCTTAAAGTAACGCATTCAAAATAACACCCTTGATAAGAAATTTTAAATAAATAGAAGTGAAAGTAAAGCATCGCATAAGGCATATGTTACTAGGTGGTGACAAATGGGACAAAAAGATCTGTTGTTGCGACTTAGCCACAAATGAAATTTAAAATATCCCAGTAGATGCCAGTGGTAGTGAGGCAAGGTAGAATAAATGCATTCTACATTCTGTGGGACATTTTGTTCTAAACAGTTTTTGAGTATATATAAAAGAGTATTGTCCGCACATTCAAATCTGCAATGAATTAACGGTAATTTAAGTTCCGTTCAACTAGGATATGGTGAAACAGTAATTAAGCGTGCTCCACATTAACCAATTGGTAATTAACTAACTATTGTTAGAAATCGTGTATTTCACATTGTTATCAATTGTGACCGGACGGCCAAGTCATGCGACTGGTGGTAAGCGACTCGCCTGTAAAGTTAAGAAAATAAGGACCATGAAGTACTGGCACCTTACCTACTGACGGTGATGAGAGCATTATTGTGTTCGGGTTTTGAAAGGTAAGGGTGCTGGTGAAATTACAGGCGCATGGAATTATCAACTTGGGCCATGAGCGCAGTAGCAGTGCCACTCAGATCTTTGCGATTTAAAGATCTGAGTGGCACTGCAACTGTTATGGACAGGCGTGTCGCTTATCACCGGACCCACGACTTGTTCTACCCATCACTTTGTACTATAAAAAAACCGCCGTGGTCGAGTGGCTTGAACACCGGTTTCCATGGCGTCAATCGTCATCGGCTCAATGTAAAAACTAATTTTTTTATATTGTCTCGGATCTGGATGTTTGTGGTACTGTCGTTGTTTCTGAATTCCATAACACAAGTGCTTTAGCTACTTACTTTGGGATCAGAGCAATGTATGTGATGCCCTCTAATACTATCCTATTATTATTATATTCTATAGCCCCGGAAAATAAAATAAATAAAAATAAATTGGACAAATGAAGCGAAGTATTTGTAACCGCGTCAATATAGCTGATGTCAAACACCGTCGTGTAAACAACTCTGCAATATGTGAGTATGTCGTGGATAAACCTACACATTCAATGAAGTTTGACAAACTCCAGGTCCTTGCAAAAGAAGTTCGTTATCTACCCAGGATGCTGCGAGAGGCCATTGAAATTAAAAAACATCCCAATTTCAACAGGGAAGATGGTTTCTCCGTACCACCAGTTTGGGATACAGTATTTCCTCTGATCAAAAATCCAAACAGACGTAAAACTGCTGTACAGATTAATATGTTTTAATTTACTCTAACTTCCATTATTAATTAATAATAAATTTACTTAACAAAAAACTCATATTGTAAAAATAAAATAATTTGTAAAACAGATGTAGCGTAAATTGGAATATTTCTTTGTAAAATTAAAAATAAGGTATTTAATTAATAACTTTTGTAACTATAGTGAAAAAATAGGGTGGTTTACATTAATATTAGACATAACTGGTTGAAGACTGTACCACCTCAGTCAACCGTGACCATGGGACCTGTAAAGGGCCCGAAACGTTGGTTTGTTTAAAAAAAAAACAAGTATACGCGATTTAAATCCGGAAAAATAGTTCCATTTCTTAAAAATAAAAATTATTTCCACAAACAAATTAAGTCCATGGAAAGAAGGAGTCAGAATAGGAAACATCACGTTATTTAAATAGAAGTAATAATTGTGGTTTACTATCGGTAAGGTATACGTATTTTAATTAGTTCACTTTGACATTATAATTAGAGCGAGAATTACTAAACTAAATGTGTATTGTTGTAATTAAAATATAAAAAAAATAATTAACTGTTTTCAATAAAGTTATGAGGATTAAACCTATACAGGGTTATTTGAAAAACACTAACAACTTCGCAGGACTGTATTGCTAAAATCATAAACAATAACTTTTGTTCTATAACTTTTTACAAAACATAATACATATAATTCGCACTGCTAATACAATAGTGTATTAACTCAAAAAGTTAATTTATTCAGAATAGATGATAAACGAATTACTCTGTTACCGTTAATGATTATTATAATTTATGTATAGGTTGACATTCATTATTATATGTAAATAATTTCCTTGCCAAACAGAAGTCTATTTGAAAATAAAAGTAAAAAATAATTTCATATTTTTGATTAAAGACTGTTTTGTCCAGAAATAACTATTCTGGGTTAAGTAGATATATTTTAAAGGTTTCTTACAATATTCTAATGACTACTGACGTGTAGAGAATCAAGTTTTACATTCAGAAATGGTATAATCTTGTATTTCACATATTTTGAGTTGCAACACTATTGCAATAGCAGTGCGCTATCAAAAAACAAAACTTGACGTCATATATATAACCCATGTGCACTTATGTATTAATTATTATTATTATTATTTTGTATCAAAGTTTCGTTGGTTTGTATTGTACATAACTATTTTTTAATTATTTATTCTTCAATTGTTTATTAGAAATGCATCACCCGTTCTCAGGTTTTTGTAGTAATTAGTGGTTAACGGTGTTGGTGACACAATAATTACATATTTACTGTAAAAAAATTTACTTATAAGTTTTAATTGCGTCCATTGTTTGTTGATCCAAAATAATAAAAAAGATCAATTGATTTTTTTATCATTCCTCACATTTTACTTTCGAACAAAAATAAAACTATACATTGAAATGTTTTTATTTTACTAATATTTGAAACCGGGAATAAACACTAATAGGTATGGCCCTCAGATCTTTGCAATTAAAGCTCTGAGTGGCACTGCAACTGTTATGGACAGGCGCTTACCATCAGGTGCACGACTTGTTCCTCCCGTCACTTGATGTTATAAAAAAAACGTACAACAAAATCTTTTAGTCTATTTTTGGTAAATATATTATGATTATTATAACAAAGATCGAAACACTAAGAAAAACAAATCGAACCAGCACCCACAGGCAATCCGTGTCAGATGGTCTGCCTATTAAACCATTTTTTCTGTGTTTTTTGCCGTACAACTATTTTTTGCGGTAGGGCCATCTGTGAGAAATTTATTTCTTCACTCAGATAGGTGACTTAACAGCTACCATCGCCGATTAGAGACGTCGCTTTAATAACTGTTATTTTTAAGTTTATTCAATGTCACGATGTTCTACTACCATGATATTCAAAAATTTTAAATGTTTCGTAAAAATTCGCGGAGCACAAGTTATTGTTTATGATATTAGCGATATAGTCGCAGGAGATTGATGGTATTTTAGAAATAACCATTTATGAAGAGTTCAGTTACGAAGTTATAACTTTGGCTTACTATCGCACCTTCCAGCGGGGAATTATGTACGCATTTGCATATTATATTATATTGACAGTGGCAACTAATTTAATATTTCTTATACTTAAAACTTGATTAAATAGACACTCACTTAAACGCTGAAGTCTCAGCAGTAATCCAGAGGATATTTAAGAGAAGTTTTTTTTTAATGATAACGAAACACTCGCGATTGCACTGAACAAACGACACATGCACACCGCTCGGCGTCTAGACGGAGACTGACTGAAGGCGTAGTGACGTGCGTGAATTGCCGCGCCCGTCAATCGGCATCGTGGCGTGCGTTCCGTTCTATCACAACGTGTCGTGGCCGTGAACCGTTATCAGGTACGGTTTTGGACAATTGCTATCTTGGTCCACATTGCTTTATGTTCACTTGGTGATAATGGATATCGGCGTATCTTTAGAGCGACAAAACTTTGCAAAAAAACAACTTCGACTGCGGTATATCTTACCTTTGATTTATAATCAGAAATATTTATAGGCATTAAGTGTGTTACGATGCGACCTCCTTGGTCGTGATCTCGCCTTTTTATCAACCTCTTTTCTGGTTCCTGGCTATTTATTTTTGAAATTTTGAATCGTACTCTAATTCTCTTTTCGTTTACTATTCATAAGTTTGTTCGATATGTGGTCACTCGAATCAAAATTCTTGAAATGAGAAAACGTGCCCATAAACTACAAATCCTTATTGTTAAACTTCACGTACATTATTATTAAAATTATAATAATATACGCCCTTTTGGGGTGAGTATTGTATATTATGTTAGTTACTTTTTTGTAATAATTATACATTTTCTTAGCAATAATGTTCAGTCAAATGTATCACGTCCAAATGTAAATGCGCCCGTCCAGCACCCGCGCTCGATGTGTTGTCGTCCATATATGCTAAATATACACGGAATTAGACCCGCCGCGGTAAAGACACGACCCGCACCCGCTCTCTGTATGTTTCACGATTTAGTGGTCAACTCTCGCTTTTTTCTATCAACACAATGTTACAAGCTTTTTTAACATTAAATCTATGGGCTTAAACGTTTTTCTAAACGATTTCGTAAGCTTCAAACAAAAAAGCATATAAGTGAAAATTTAAATTGGCCATACAAAACTTTTATTATACTACTTTTTTTTTATTTATTTTTTTTACTTTTATTATTTTATTATAACGACACTGGAGAACTGTATCTCTAACATAAGTTTACAGTGACAGTTGTCGCCAGCAACCGAGTAAACATATGTATAAACAATTACCACATGCAACTGCAAGTATTTTACACAGTCGCTAGAGGAATGGTCGGTACCAATCTCTCTACCAAGACTTTTCTGTAACAGTTGTCACTAGCGAACGTGTAAATATTTGTAAAAAAAAATTACGACTAAGGGAGACGCACCAAATATTGGATACGTGCACAATACTGGATATCTCGCTATAATGAAAACTAAACAACACCACCTTTAACTATTTCGTCAATGTAAGTTACCAATATTTTGTTTGTTGTCTTCAGTTCGCTGTCAACATTCAAAGTGTATTTTTCCGATCGACAATTTTTTCAGATCTTGTTTTCAAAACGCTGTTAAAGTGCTATAAGTGATACTATATTTTGTAACAGTGTTATGTACTAGCTAGGCGCATAATTAGAATACAGAACTTAACGCATTTCAGGGATAATCACGGAAGGTGAAGTTTTCGTAACCGATTATTGTCCAAATAGGTAGTTACCTCAATATTGGATATCCGATATTGGGGTACCTACATCACTGGTTGTATATAGTGTCTTTCATATTTAAATGTTTAATTATTTGTTTAGATGGGGGATCATTAAAAAAGATGACAGATTAGATTTTTTTGCCTACTGCTTTTGCAAATTTAAAAGGACCATTTAAATATATGCCCTGGCTAATAGAGTGTACCCTATACTGGATATCCAATATTGAATAGTATACCCTGTACTGGATATCCATTATTAGGGTACATGTGAAAACATCGTTGAATTTTCTAATTAAAACAAAATAATTATGTAAAGTCTTGAGATAGACAATAACTGTAACTGCAATAAATATAAATTTTTAAATCTTATATCAGTGTTTTTTTCGATTGTTCAAACAGTATTCGATATTTGGTACGTCTCCCTTACAGTACAATTTGCCATGTAAACTTGTGAAGTATGTGCCACAGTCGGTAACGAAATCGCCATACCTACCTCTCTCTCTCTACCATAAGTTTATTGTGACAGTTCGCTGCCTTTTTACAATAACGCAGTATTATTAGAAACTACGATTTAAAGAAAGCAAAACACAATATACGTAAAATTAATTAATTATTCACGATTAAGTTTCGCTTGCGCTTCGCTTTTAGTTCAAAATAAAAAAACGCAGCGAGTTGTCGTTAGCGGCCGTGTAAACATTCATATACAAAATGTTACGACAGCCGTAAAGTTTACATATAAAATTGTGAAGTAATTTACACGGTCGCTAGCTACAATTGTCGAAGTAAAGATACAATATACAATTTATGTATAGTTAGCAAAGTAATCAACGTTTATGTCGGAGGAAATAGACAAATAAATGATGTAATTTCACAGCGCCTACACTGTTGACAGAAGCTATTTTGATCTGAGCAAAGTCCGCTAATATACAATATTTACCTAATGTACTTGGACGGTGCGCATATTCTATATACCTAGACGAGTTGAAGCCTTTTTCCTGAATTAAATAGTGTAAATATTGCAACACAAACAACAAGCAAAATTCTCGCTATTCCAAATTTAAAATATAATAAAATAAAATTCTACTGGTACATAATTAACTAGATTTAAATAAACCGAAACGAAGTATTTTATGAGGCACTTCCTGGTTACTTCTTGTAAAATTATAATGAACTTTTTGAAAATGGTTCAAGATATATGATAATATTTTAAGGAGATTGACAACATTTCGAACTGCCTATTTAATACAGTACTAAATATATAATACAAATAATAATATTTAACTAACAATGTTCAATAACACGTATCACAACTTTCCTACGACAGAGAACCTAAAATCCAGCCTTTTAAAAGGTGACAGCTAATAACATGCAACCAAATTAAAGAGTACAGCAGTAATACCAGGTATGAAACTCACTACTAAATATTGTATTTAACCGGTTAACCAAATAATGAAAGCTGCAAAAAACTAGTGGACTGTATGATTGTATATTAAAAATACTAAAGACAAACAAATGCAACATGTGCATAAATGCAAAGAAACTAGCCCGGTTAGCCAAGGCCAGTAGTGCCTTAGGTGACTAACCAGACCAGTTTCTTAGAGGGCCGACGAAGCAACCCTCCCGCTGTGGCTACGTCCACCACCCTTACCACTCCGTCCTCTGAACTTGGTTGGTTTACTTTTACCTAAACCTTTATACTATAATTGCCCAAGTTTTAATTTTTAAATTAATAGTTATTTTGCAATCGACATTCACTGAGATTCAAGAGTTAGTCAAAGGAAGTATTGCCACCTTACCTATTTCTGCCGACAAGCAGTAATGTTAGCATTACTGCGTTCCGGTTTTGAAGGGTACGGGTGCTGGTATAATTACAAGCACATGGAACTTGTCAACTTATATCTCAGTGTGACGGGCGCATTAAATCTTTGCGATTTAAAGCTCTGAGTGACTCTGCAACTGGTATGGACAGGCGTGTAGCTTAACCATCAGGCGCACAATTTTTTAACCCCTCGCTTTATATTATACAAAAAGAAATTATTCCCGGGCCGAGAGAAATATGTATATGGCCTACATTTATTTCTCTCGTTAGTTTGGATGAGATTTGTGGTTGTCTATGTGTGCCACGCCATATTCCCTAGAGCGAGGCTATGAGTGTTACGTAAAAAACAAATCAAAATTATTTCGTATTGTTACAGCGAAACACACCTTTCTTTAGTTAATTTTGTCAATTTTATATTCTAATCAAATTTGTATTGAACTGAGATTATTTTTTTTTTAATTTTGTGAAATTACTAGTCAACATAAAAACACTCATAAAAAATTCCTTCGATCCGGCCGGATTCGAACCGACATATTCTAGCATACCGTGGCAGACGCTTTACCAACTAAGCCACGGAACGAACCAGCGGACGTCACGAATTTTTCTACGTGCTTGTTGTCGGATCTTTGTACTTGCTTTTCAACGACTTTGAGCGCCATCTATGAGAAATCTATGAAAATATTTCGTCACCCAGTTAGGTAACTTTACAGCTACCAGCCCTGGCTAGAGATGTCGCCATTAACTGTAATTAAATTTGTATTGAATTGAAATTATTATTTTTTTATACTCTAAGTGATTCTGTCGGGTATTTGATAGGTTTATTGATTGTGCAGCACCCAGAAAAACAAATGTAGGTTTAGGGATGTAATGAAAACCTGTAGTATTTTCTTTTCTACTCCTGTATTTTAGTCTGTCAATCACAATTTCATAAACCATATCACAAAGGCGCTCTTTTTAGTCTTGAACCAAAATTATATTGTCTATGGTATCTACTCGTTACTGAACTGAAAAACTTTTGAAAAAAAAGGAACGTCGTACTTTTGTAATTAAAACAGTTTCCTTAAACGCGTCACAATAACGTTACCATATTTGTGAAATTATTAAAATTCTAATTGTTTTATTAAATAATATAAAATGACCATGAAAAATTGCATATCTTAATTTTTATCTCGTTTAAACAGCAATTTTGTCTTCGAATTAAATACATTTTTTTTATTTTATAATAATTAGTGGACTACGCCATCGTAGTGTCATGGACCCGCCATTGAAAAGCAGAATACCAGAAAAATGCAATAGCAGTATATATACAATAGAATAGTATCTCTATGCAATAGAATAGTATCTCGATGAGAAACAACTGACAAGCGAAGTACTCTTAATTTTTAGCACAATATCAAACGAACCAACTCCTGCCACTGACATTCTATCGACACTCAACAGTGGCCGTAGTATGACAGTATTATGTGTGATAAACTTCCCCGTGATAATATTTATTTCAATCAATAAAACTAGGTTTGCTTATTTGGTAATGAACTATTGTTATATATTTTGAAGAATAAGGACAACAATATGAAATTGTGTATATTAATCATCAATCAATCGCCGCGAAAACGATACACAAAAAATGACGGGTTTTTGAAGTTTCTGTTTTTACATATGTTATTGATTATTAACGTA